CTGATATTTGTTTATCCACGCACACCTGACATGAAACATCACAAAATCGTTTGGATACTATTCCTCTGACATTTATTCAATATCTCCTCTGATATTTATCCAATAACTCTGGTTTGAAACAGTAAAATTCAACAACAAATTGGTCTCAAAATAAATACTCATGTCGTGTGGTCAATTACAATAGGCTAACAAACTTTTAACACAGAGGGCGTGCTGAGCATGAATAACGTCGCTTACATACCCGCCCCTATTGAACTACTACCTGAGTATGACAAAAATCAACCAAGGCGACTTATTCTAAGCTCCTGGTTATAACATGTAATCAAAGGAATAATATAAGTCAGCAAGCCTCCATCATATTTAAGTAATATGAGATTTACGAAGTAACATATTAATCTAACAAACTACTCATGAATATTGCATACAAACAATAAATCACCTTATATTACTATTCGAACTTCAATGTTAATCAGGTTAACTTCAAACTTGAGTATTTAAGTTACTGTTCTGAATACTTGTGTAATCTGGTAAAATTATAGTATCGTAGAACCATTACATATGACTAAATAATAGTAATATTGACAAATATTTTCTTGCATAATCGTGGAAGATTAAATTTCAGCTAATTATAGAATTAAAGAAAGTATAATACATACTCCAAGTATTGAAATACACGCCATCGTGTTGGGATTCAATATTTGAACATTAATTATGTCATCATCAGGAATGAAAAAATTATCCATGTTAGCAAGCTTATATTCACTAGTACCTAAATTGTTAACCAATCAAAACATTACCTCTAGTAGGTGACATAGCAGTGATTTAAACAAAAGATCAAAGCATTCTTACTCTAATGATCAAAGATACCTACAAAAAAAAAGCACTTTTGAAGCTCTGAGCCCATTGTTAAGCAAAGGGTGTAGTCTACGTATAGCGAACGCTTCTTTAAACAATAGGATAGTTACTTTACTGCTAACACGGCAGCGGTCAATTCAAGTCGTGGTATGGTGACTGACCTCAAGGGGCTCACACAAGTCTTAACAAAAAGGAACTTAGAGCAGGATATGCCCGGTCTGTGACACTGTGCGTAAATACCCAACAGCGGCGAGTCCCTTTTCTGGCGCGTCACTGAAAATATGTAACTGGACGTCCTTCGCATTTTCTCGCTCCAACCATCTTGGTATTTTGAAATTTGACATGTTTAGTACATGCTTCATCCACCTCTCCCAAGACCTAAGTTCTTCATCTCTAAGAGCCTAGTCCCAATTGATACCCCGTCGACAGATAGCTTGCAGTAACATTTTTGCAGTGAAAATGAATGGAGCTGCGAAACCCAAAGGGTCGTATACTGAGCTCATAACAGACAATATGCCCCACCTCGTCATCGGTTTATCCTTTACGGCTAAATTCATCCGATTCCGCATTCCAACAGACCCCGAGAGCTCTTTCCATTGATAGTTTCTCTAGGCTTGTAGAAACAGAGGTTGCTCTTTCATCCTGGAATATTACTAAGTACAGTTTGCTGATTACTTAGCCACTTTGTTAGCTTGAAACCTCCTTTGGATAGTAGCGTCCTCGAACGCTCTATTAGCTGTGTGGCTTCGGCCGTGTCATGTACTGATACCAAGCAGTCATCAACGTTCTCCTTGACAGTGGTTACCGCCTTTCGAATGAATGCATTTTCATTTTCATTGCTGTTGTCTTCTGCGCAACTAGGCGAGGAGGTAGCTCCGAAGAAGTGTACGCTCATTTTGTAGGTTTCTGGTTGGTCAATTCGCCATTGAGCCACCACAGGAATCTTAGTGCATTCCTGTCTTCAGGCAAGACTATCACTTGGTGGAACATTGACTGGATGTCCGCTACTACTGCAAACTTCTCTTGCCTGAACCTTATTAAGACGCCCAATATTGGTAAAGTCTGGTCCTTTCAACAAACAATCATTTAGTGACATGCCCTTCCACTTTGCCGCGCAGTCAAAGACTACCCTCAGCTTTCCCTTAAGTGAGTGAACAACAGGATGATGAGGCTGATACCATACATCTTTAGGTGTTCGTTCTTCTGCTATTCGCTCTGCGTATCCCATTTCAAAGTTTCTCTAATCTCTTCTTTAGGGGGGACAGTCTAACTTCTGCCAATGGCTTGTTCAGAGGTAGCTTGGTATCAGGATATTTTCATGGTAGACCTATTTAGTATCTACCTTCTGGTGTCAAGGTAACTGTCTCATCCATTTTGGTTTTCGCTCTCATATCCTCTATGGAGTCGCCTTCATCAATCAGCCCGCAATTCTCTATTTCCCATGACTTTTGCAATTGGTGAATTATACGTTCGTTGGCATTAATAAGGTGTATTTGTTTCCTACTGCTCAATTTAGCACTTCCAGGCCCCATGATAGACCACCCCAAAGGAGTTCTTTAGGCGTATGGCTTCTTTGGTCCTCCACACCTTTCTTCCTTCACCCAGAATGCTTCTTGAGCATCTGCACCAATTATAATTCGTTCATTAAGATTTCCTCCGCCCACCCGAGGTCTAGCTGTCTCCACCTCTTTAGATCTTTCTTTCTTGGTACCGCTTCAGCAGTCACTGGAAGCTTATCTACGGTCAGAACCTTCATGTTGATCTCTTGCTGTTCTTGCAAACCTTTGACTGTGATGTCAGTTTCAAATCCCTCTTTATTTTCTTCATCATTTATGGTTAAAACTGTGTACTTCACACGTCTGCCCCGAGTAGTGAGCCTTTGCATTAGCTTCTCGCTACACAAGATTGCGTCCGATCCGCTATCTAGCAAGGCAAAGGCTTGTAATTTTGTTACTTTCGACTGTACGATTACCAGAACAATTCTTAAATACACCTTTGACGAGAGTCCTGCCGCCATACTTGCTATCGGGTTCCTGTTTTTACTCTGCGGCCGTGGAGAATGAATCAGTTCGTAGTGTTTGAACCTGCATTTGGTGCAACACTGTCCTCGACGACAATTTAGTGCTATGTGGCCAGGCAACAAACAATTATAGCAGGGTTTTCTAGACTTCACATCCTCCAAGCGTTTATCAATCTCCATCTTCTTGAAATCTGTGCACGACCAAATCTTGTGGTCACCTTTGCATGCGTTACACTCCAGTTTTATGTAGCCAGTGCTTGTTGAATTTGCCCTTACTCTCGGTTTCAAATCTTTGGGAACATTCGATCTTGGTATGTTTCGTCCAAACAGGTTGCTATTAATCTCTGTTTCTCCTTCTAAATAGGTAATGCATCAAGGCATGTAAAACAAGGTGTGGTTGTCCAAACTGTCTTTTGAGGATTGACTTTGCTTGTTCGTAACCAGCGGCGCCCAGCAACAAGCAACAGTCAATACTATACTTTGCCCTACCTTTACACAACTGCAGAAGATATTGTAATCGAGCCGCATCGTCACTCAGTTTCCTAGCAACGTTTATCTCAAAATTTTGTATAAACGTCCAATAATCGACTGGGTCACCGGAAATTCTGTAATCTCTGCCTTAGGCAATTCAAAGGCAAATTTTAAACCCTTTAGATCAGAGATCTTATTATCTATGCTCACAGCACCTGCAACGGTGCCGATAGCTACACTATCCGATACCTCGTTACCTACACTACTACCCATACTGGTTGTTACACTTTGTGTAACTTTGCAATCTACAACTGTACTAACCGTGCTGGTTGCCACACTTTCAGTAACTTTGCTATTTACATTACTACCTGTACTGGTTGCTACACTTTCAGTAACCTTGCTATCTACACTGCTCACAACACTACTACCTGTACTGGCTGCTACAGTTTCAGTAGCCTTGCTATCTACTACTACTCACATTAGCACTGCTAGTGCCAGTGGGGTTTTCAACTTCAGTTCCAATGTTACTTTCTCTCCCTTCATTGTGCAACAGGAACGTTTGCACTCCTTTCTCACAGTACACATAATATGAATATATTCTTCTTGGCATGTTTTCAGCCACTCCTCTTCCAGCACAAACACATCATCTTCTTCTATTATCTCAATCATTGAATTATGCCTTTCTTCAACTTTGTGAAATGCCTCGTCTAGTTAGCCAAGTACGTTTCTAATATCTTGAATATCACATTCCCCATCCATCTGCAATTTTAAAGCATTGGCATGCCTTGTTAATACGGACTTAGCGTTTCTCCTTCTCCAGTTTTAGTTGCTGTGTTTCCTGAGACATTTTAATGATAAATTCCGCCCCCAACAGTTTATATATATACTAGTCTTGTTTCAACCAGTCGCCGATTAGCTATCAATAAGCTCGATACGCTCGACCCTCGAGCGGCTTAAATGTTCAAGTATTTTGTAACTAAAAAGTCCGGATTCCAGATCTAAGCTATCGTTTAAGCATTAGTGTAATACTCCAGAATATCGATCCCTGGGGAATCCTTACAGATTTAATGTATTTCACTTATGTTCCTTGCGAACATAGTGTTGTCCTCAACAACGAACAATGTTACACGAACCAGCTTAGGCCTATAAGCAACTGTGTATCTCGCCTTCCTTATCGCCGGAACGTGGGTTAGCCTGATATTTGTTTAAACAAAACTTTTAACACAGAGGGCGCACTGAGCATGAATAACATCGTTTACAAACGCTATTAATAATCATTATTCTTGTTAGCTCAATGGTGGACCCAAATGTTCGAAATAGAGAAGCAAAGTTAGGGACTTTTTTACAACCCAACCGAATTAACCGAATGGACACCAAGAATGATTTCATAATGAGATTTAATGTTTTGAAATACATTATATATTTAGTTAAATGTTGATCTGATGTATCATTAATGTTATTATAAAACATTCACAATACATATTACAATATTTAAAACATCTTCACAGCCGATCAACAGTGCAGTCTGGTGTATCAGTGTCAGGTTTATAATGGTCAGAGTGTGGTTGGACTTACGATCACGAGATATGAAACCTTAATGGAAAACACTGCAAAATACCACTATGAATAAATGTAATTTTTTTTTTCTTTTTAGAGTGATACTGTGAGAGTGATTTGGTCTTATCATCCCGAAGACCCCGAAGGCATGATGGCAACATACCACGGTCCACGACGGCGAGGTGTAAGACCGATCATATTCTTAGATATAAGACCTTCAAATCTAAAATCTTTACCAGACGATGTAAAAGCATTTGATATATTAAGCGACAATGTAAGTAAGCCTATGTAGAATGTGGTTAAATTGTGTATGTCATACATATTTCTCTGTCTATCAATCTATCTATGTATACTTAATCAAAAACGTAATATTTTTCATAGCATGCCACTTGACAACTGTATGTATTAAATGTATGTTTGAAATTTGTTTTATGGCAGCCTATCGTACGAAGTGACAAGGCAACTATCTACTGGTGCACTCATATAGAACTACCAGCGCTGCTAACACCACATCATATCATAAGGGTAGGAAAACTTAACATAACACATTAATGTTGCGCACTTTAACTCTGTATTTTTTCATTAAAGTAATCTGACGGAGCATAACCGTACTGGTTTCTGTTTTGAATAGTCAGAACCGTAAATTTAACGATTAGCAATTAAGCCTTCCGGAAAATTGGCGATTTGCCTAAACACCTTTGATATACTATGTTTAATTACATATTATTTGTTGAAATAGGTAGGTCATACATATTTGAGAATGAATTTTAATTATTATTAATATATTTGTATAAAATACCAAACTTGCTGATAGGTATAGTTTGGTACTAAATAATGCTAGGTCTCGTTCTCTTTTCAGATTGAACCTATAGTCCAGCCAGGAAACGAGGGCGTTGTTCATCATTTGATTCTAAGTTCGTGCTATGGACTGCAAAACATCAATGGAAGTAACAGTTTGAACTGCGAAAGTAATCTTATGTATCAGTTCAGGTTCTGTTCTCAAACAATGTATGCATGGGCAGTTGGAGGTGGTGTAAGTGTAGTGATATTATCTTGTAATGTGAATACAATAAAATGCAAGCTCAACAGGGCAAACTTCGCTTCCTGCGATTATTTATAATAATGAATATGATGATAATGACAGTAATAATGAATATGGCAACGATGACGATAACAATGATAATAATGACAGCTACAGATTAAGATAAAACAACAACTATAACAACTACTACAACTGCAACAAAAACTATAACAAAAATAAACAAGAGCAACTATAGAGTAGCTGTAATATTTTACCTACATAACAACAGCTGTAACAACTACTGCAACAACAACAACAGCAACAACAAAACGACAACTATAAAAACAAATACAGCAACAACTGCAAGAGCAACAACAACAGTAACTACAGCAGAAATACAAACAACTACAACAGCTACAACAACAATAACTATTACAGCAACTATAACAGAAATATTCTAACAACTATAACAACTACAAGAACAAAATAAATTACAAGAGCAGCAGCAATAGCCACGAATAACAACTACAAGAACAAGTAAAACAACTACAGAAACTACAACAAATATTCATACTATAACCACAATTTTTAAGAAAGCCTACAACAGAAATTAAAGCAACCAGCAGCAAAATAAACTGCAACATCAACTACAACAACTGCACATACAACTGCCACAAATATAACTACAGCAACAAAGTGGTTACAATAATCATGATAAGAATTGTTGGCGTAATCACTTTTCTTTAAAACATGTAAAAAGATAGTGATAAGTGTAATTTCTCTAGTGTCCAGCCAAAAACTAAACATATGTTCTTACTTATGTAGTTTCATCAAATGTTTTGGTCTAAAGTTTCTTTATTAATTAAAAAAATCAAGCTTGAAAATAATAATAGCCTATATATTAAAATAACATTATATTATCTGCATATTATGTATCTTTTGTATCTGTGGTTTCAAAATAAAAGTAAGTTCTGCTTTTTGTACGTCGCAGTCACATATATAAACGTACAATAGAAGGGAAAGCCCCATGTTAAATTTATTAATAAAAACTAACAAGCAGACAGACAGGCAGAGAGACCGACACAACAACATACAGATAGATAGATAGATAGATAGACAGACAGCGGTGAATACATAATCATGTTTGGAGAGGTGTGTGCCACTTTGCGCATTTTCAGCCATTAGATTTTCCAGAGCATGTGGGATTTCGGATTGGTGTGGATGATGTAAGGTACTTACAACTCACAGTACACTACGATAACCAACAGTTGATTAAAGGTAAGATCAAATGGAATTAAATTAATACTAGAAATTAACTAAATAATAATTATTGTAAACAACACGAATATGCTATTAACAATATCATACAGAGCATAATGATTGTACATGCTGACATTACCGTTCTATGTTGTAAAATGATTACAAACTTTTGAAATACCTTTGTATAATTGCCGTCCATCGTTTGTTCACAACAGGGTACATCGGGGAAACCCCCTACTCTCCTTGATAGATTGGCTTCCTTAAAGTGCACATGAGCAAAATTGTCTACACTGGGCATTTGGTGTATAGTTCTTATCAGAGAAAGCTTGCCGAGCTTGCCTCTCGAACTAGAGTCTATATTGTGCATATATATAAATTGTGCCGCCCAATCCTCAACTGTTTTACCATTTGACTTACTGAAGTATTCTACTTACACAAACCACCACATGTCGGCTAGGGTGGCTTAATGATTGTTTTTATTTATTTATTTATTTTATTTTGCACAGGTATTCATGACAGATCTGGTGTACGTATTTACTACACCCCAGAGCTTCGACAATATGATTCAAGTGTACTGATGATAGGTATTCCGTCATTTCGCTTGTATGTGATACCACCAAAAGAAAATTCATTTAAAGTGTACGGTTCGTGTGATAAGCAATGTTCAAATAAGGTGATGAAGTCAGCTTTAAAATCGTTAAAGTTTTAGTTTAAACTATCTTTAAAAAAAGTAAGTAATCTTGATGCCTGTATTAGGCGAATAACTGCGGCTAAAGAACATCAAATTCATTTCATTTTTTTTTTCATTTTATTGATGATCTGAATAATGAGGTTAAGACGCAGATAATTGTTATTTCAACGTGATATGCATAACCTAATGATATTTTTATTAACTCGTAGATACTTACAGAAGGTGATATGAAAGTATTTTCAGTTTTACTTCATGCACATTTAGCAGGTGTGTAATTTTACCTGTTTTGAGTAATAAAGTGTACAGATAATTACATTTCAATGTTTCTTTAATATCCCTAAGAAAATACCGGTACTTATAAGAGAATTAGAATTATATACTTCACTAATTCAATATGCACTATACCAGTTACTTTTCTCTATAAAATTTAGTTTTTAAATAACATTATTACCTATATAATCTAATAGCTTAAGTTAATGACTCACTGTCAATTGCTGTATTTTATGGTCTTCTATTGATTGATGCTCCCACCATGTTATTAAAACATGAATAGATTCATATATATATATATACATATATATATATATATATATATACATACATACATTACGAAGTTATCTCTGTCTCTTATACACATCTAGATGTGTATAAACACCCTGTATTACATTATTATCAATAGGCCTATACAATGTTTAAAATATTGTACTATACACAGGAACTGGTATGCGGTTAACACACTTTCGGAATAGCGAATACATCGGAGAAATTACGCGAGATAGAGCATATGACTTCAATTTACAAGAAGAAAGAAGGCTAAAAAATCAATGGATAGTCAAACCCGTAAGTTACGTTAAAAAGTTATAATATAGTATCATCTGTCAACATATTTGGAAAATGTTGAGATTAGCAAAAAGCCATACGTCTTGGACTTAGTACTAACTTAGTAGGTTTACTATAAAATATTTCATGGCGAACTTTTAAATATTTATATAATCTAAAATGTTTCAGTTTATGAGCGATACATGCTGAAGTTATAAAGATTGTAGAGAATTGACAAAGAAAAATGTAATGAACCCACAAAAGAGATTATAAAAATATATAGCCCCATCTCAATCGTGTCAACATATCTTACCTGTCTAAATGCAATGTTCTAAATCAATGGTTCCTAACCTTGGGCCCGAGGAACCCTTAGGGGCTTGTAAACAATAATCGGGGTCCGCCAAGTCAAAGTGGTCCGCAGGGGGTCCGCAAAAAAATGTTGGGGTCTGCAAAAATGTTGGGGCCGCTAGATTACTAGAACAACTTTTTCATTATTCAATTATTTGTTCTTGTCTTACAATAGTGTGATCATATCTTGACAATAATGAAATACCTTTGACAGTCATGACTTCGTTTACTGTAAATTATTTAATTGGCATTATATTTTAATTCCAATATTTTTTTTTGGATCTGACAGAATCTTTTAGATTATATATTTTTTTATGTATTCTCTATGTAAAGATGTTTAGTATAGGAGAGCCACTAGATAGTGGCAATCATTAGGTAATGTACTGTACATCTTGTTTCCATTTTTTCTCTTGTATTGCTTTTACCTGGATATTGCATGAATTTAAGAAACCAGGAGGGAGCCCTAAATTTGACAAAAATAAAAGTAAATGGAGAAATAACAAAATATTACATTCAAATTTTGACAATTTCATTTCCGGATGATCTGCAAGTGCAATAACCATACAAATGTTCTACCTCAACACCCAACCATGGTCGGGCTGAGGTGGTTTCTATTTCGAATTTCAGGATATGCCACAGTTTAATGTTGGACTTTTGTGGCGAATCATCTTCTATCTGTATGCCTAATCTAGTATCCTTCCATCTCCGCAACATCAAGGCAGTTAGGCGTTTTTTAAATGAAAATACTACGTCAAAACTTGTACATGCATTGGTTACATCAAGATTGGATTATTGTAATGGAGTCCTTTACGGAATACCATTAACATCAATTAGAAAGCTGCAGCTATTGATGAACATCGCTGCTCGTCTTGTCCATTATTTGTTTTTTTTTTTGTGTAAAATACCTATATACACCCTGTCTCTTATACACATCTAGATGTGTATAAGAGACAGATTCACAAGTTATCACCACAATACATTTCCGAATTAATTAAGGTTCGTTCTGCAACTTGCACTCGTTCCCTCCGGTCAACAACTGACTCAACCAATCTTTATTGTCCATTCTTTCGGTTAAAGTCTTGTGGAGAGCGATCGTTTATGGTTGCTGGGCCCAAGTTGTGGAACTTGTTACCTTTATTTATTCGTGAGTAACCTTCTGTCAGCAATTTCAAAGAACGACTTAAGACCCACTTATTCTCGTCCCTTTAATTATTTTTTTTTTCTATTTCCTTGCCAGCTAGCTTTTATAGCTTTAACTAGGATAGGAGGCGCTCGAATCCGAGATGGCCGAGACTCAATAGGTGCTGACTGTAGTTCAATTAGATTGAACCCTAACCAGCGATGAGGGCGTATCCCCATACTTCTGTTTGGGTGCTGGCATGGTATTCAAATTTCACTTCTTTTTATTTTGTGGTTTTGGTTTCCGTTCCATCTTTACACTTGCCTAATAGCGCTTAGAGACTTTTTGTATTTTGCGCTCTATAAATTAATAACCATTAACCATTAACCATCTTATTGGTGGATATGGAAATCGAGGTCTGTGAGGATTTGGCATGTTCAGAGGGGTCCGTGAACGAAAAAAGTTTGGAAACCATTTACTGCTCTAAGTAATTTGCAATACGGTTCTTAACAACATTACTTAACTAACCACGCCCTTCTCGCTCTATTGATAAGATTACAAATTAGTTAAACAAATTGAAACTCAATGAAGACAATACAGAACTGTTGTCTGAAATTATACAGGTAGGTATCAACAGTCATCACAGTTAGTTAGGAATATTAAACTCAGTGTTAATGGTTCTATCATAACTATCTCCAAAAGTGTACGCAACTTGGGGGTTACTTTTGAATCCAGCTTGGAATTGAGTTTCCAGGTGGTGAGGGCGCTAAACAGAGGGCGATCACCAAGGTTAAGGTTTTTCGTCTCGTTTTTTACATCAAATTTTCCTGTTTTTATGTACGTCCTATACATTTTTACTTAGTTTATGTAATAGCTTCGATGACTATTAAAAAGTAGAATGACTCTGGGAGTAAACTTCAACACGTCAACTTTATTTCAATACATAACACAGAGTAAATCCCGCCTCAAGCGGTAATACAAATGTAGTGTCGGCACGACGCACCTTGATACTACGCGCGCGCTACTATCCAGGGTATGGTTATTATGGTTACCAGTTTATGTAATATTAAACAGTTTATGAATATCACAGTTTACACATTTACAATGTATGTAAGTGTCATTTTATCGCATTTACGGCTTTGTACACTGATATTTCTCGATGAAATTAACAACGGTTTGTCGTCCTAACCACCCAGGCCAGACGACTCGTTCACTCAACGCATATCGTACACCCGTGAACAGCTATTGCTGCTAAGGTATGACTCACAAGACAGGCTTTACAAGCCTGGCCTTCTAACTCTCTTCGATGAATTGCCAACAATGGACAACTCACATGAAGCTAAGAAAGCGTGGGAGAAGAGGTGGCTTGAAATGCAGACTGAAACGGCGTAAGTTCTGTGCTCCACTACCGTCTATCTAATCGGGAAATGCCCAATCACTACGAAACAAAATTGATGAATTTAAAGCTTCTACACTATTTTTACAAGAATACCGAGAGGCCAACGTAATATACTTTTCTGAAATCTGACTCGGAGATCAACATTGACGGTTTAACAATGCCTCTGACATTCAAGAAATATGCAACGATATGGATACTGAATCGCCTTATGCTGTCAAATTAATCACTGGTGACTTTAATACATGTCCACTAAAGAAAGTATTACCACATTATTATCAGTATGTTAACTTCCCAACTCGTGGCAATAACATTCTTGACAACTGCTATGGAAACATTAAGGATGCATATAAGGCACTTCCAAAGGCAGGCATTGGTCAGTCGGACCATAAAATGATCTACCAGATTCCAGCTTATAAACAAAAACTGAAGCAAACCAAGCCAATTACCAGAAAGATTAAAGTTCTTACAACAGAAGATATTGAAACAATCAAAGGCTGTCTAGAATCTACAGACTGGGACGTTTTTATTTGTTCAAACTCACTCGACACAGCTACAGATGCAATTTTTGAATATATTAAATTCTGTGAAGACAACATCTGTACATCGAAAACAGTAAAGATCTACCCAAATAGCAAACCCTGGGTAAACAGCGAAATTCGAAGTCTATTGAAAGAAAAACAAAAGGCCATTCACAAAAATTGATAAAACTAAAAGGAAGCTACTACAGAAGCGAATCAATAAAGCTATCTCTGATGCAAAACGCAAATACGGAGAAAAGATAAAGGCCGATTTCAAAAGTGGAAACTCAAAACAAGTTTGGAAAAAATTAAAGAAAGCCATAGGAACCAGCAGTAACAAGGCCGAACATGGAATAATCCCAGTTGGCCATCATAAATTTGACTTTGCAAACGAACTCAACTTTTTCTTTAATAGGTTTGACACAAAATATGATACAGATGATGATAATTATGATAGGTTAACCATTAATACTTCAAATCATGATGTTATAATTTTGATGTAAACTCTGTTGAGAAAGCTTTAAGTTTTCTTAAACCTAATAAGGCAGTTGGATCAGATAATTTATCAGGAAAAATATTGAAATATTGTAACAAACAACTAGCACCTATCCTATGTAAACTATTTAACTGGTCGTTAAATTCATCACAAGTACCAACATCGTGGAAAAATTCTATCATATCACCTATAAAGAAAATAAGTAAACCTAAAGTACTTAATGATTATAGGCCAATTGCACTTACACAAATTATTGCTAAATGTTTTGAGAAACTAGTGAAAGATCTATTAATTAAGGAAACCAAACAATTACTGATGTCTTTCAGTCTATTTATGTTTGTGGATTCAGGACTTCCTAAAGAATCGAACACAGTGTGTAAGAATAGGCAATGTTCTATCTGATGTTATAACTTCCAATACTGGTGCACCACAGGGTTGTGTGTTATCACCCTTACTTTTTGCATTATATACCAGCGACAAACTCATGTCATATAATTGTGTCAAGTTTGCTGATGACACTTGTCTAACAGGTACTATAAAAGATAATGATGAGAGGGCTTACAGACAAGAAGTTGATAACTTAGTAAACTGGTGCAGTAACAATTCCTTGATTATAAATGTAAGTAAAACAAAGGAAATTGTATTTGATTTCAGGAAAAATAGTACTCAAAAATCACCTTTAAATATAACTAACACTGATGTTTGTACTACTACTAGTGAATATAAGTACTTAGGAATATGGATTGATGATAAATTGTCTTGGTCAACTAACACTGAAAAATTGTATAAAAAAGCCTAACAAAGACTCTACTTCTTAAGGAAAATGAGATGTTTTAATGTCGGCCGTGATACATTGTTTCTTTTTCACCAGGCCATGATTCAGTCGATTATGTCATTCTGCTGTATCATATGGTACAATAGCCTAACAAAGAAAAATGCTGGTAAATTACATAAGATTACGAAGTTATCTAGTAAGATAATTGGTTTGGATGTCCCAGAAATGGAAAATATTTATTTTGAAATCATTAGCAGGAAATTTAAGTGTATATTAGATGACAACACACACCCTCTAAGTAAATATATCAACTTCTATCAGTAAATCAGGTCGCATTATTCCCTCATTAAAGAAAACCTCTCGTC